CACACACACACACACACACACACACACACACACACACACCCACACAGCATATTATCTTTATGAGGTGTTATACACCAATGACCACCAACACAGGGTCTCAGTGTTCTCTAATCCACACTCGGCCTGAAAAGACTGTTCCATGCAATGGAGGGATTACATTGTTGGATTAATAGAAGTTTTAATTTGAGTCTTTGTTGGAGTCCTTGGCTATAACAATGGATGAGGAAAGAATACCAAAGCTTTTGTATAAACTGAAACATGGAACAACTTTTTTTTATTTCCTGCTTTACTTTAGGCCAATGTTTGTCAAAACGATTATCACTCTATTAGGAATTAGTCTTTCATTGTTATACATGAAATAAACAAAAAACATAGCAATCAAGTCCTAAAGAGCCCATAATATTTTTGGTGACCAGAGACATCCGGTAAAACATCACTAAACATTTTACTGTTTCTTTCTCAAACTCATATAAAATAAAAATCTGGTTGGTCCATATTCGTCAGGTCCTGGTGATATGAATAGTGGATGAATGAGGTTGACAGGCTGGGCAGCAGACAGAGAGGTACAATAGAACAAAGAACGTTAATGCCTAAACAAAGATACAGAAAATCCAAGTGGAAAACAAACTGTGACTTGGCCACAAATAGAGATAAACACAAGATCTAAGAATGAGCAAAAAATATAATAATTAAATAAAATAAAAAAACTCAAGGAATATACAGTATGTAAATGACAAAATGTATACACGTCTAATTGTATGAATTCTCTGTAAATTACATGGTTTTCCTCCATTTTGCAAGTATACGGACATATGGGGCAATCTTATGGATTTTTCAAATTTCACATATCTTTTCAAGAACTCAGCTTCAAGTTTATTTAACATTTAGAGCCTGTAGGATGTAAAACAATTACTAAATAAATAAAAATCAAAAACCATCTCCCTACCAACTCTGCCACCAAAAATACTGTAACGTCCCCACCTCTCGTCGTCCTCCTTTCTCTGCTCCCTGATTCCTCTTTTGTACAACATGTACTGTAGATTGATTGGTGGAGGCAGTAGTTGAAAGCACAACCATGAGGATGAGTTATGAGGACATTCAGGAGCACAACAAAATCTGCAAAAAGACATGGGTAAGAACTATAGCATTAGTTACAAAAAAATGTAAAGTTGGAGCAGGTTTGGTTGCCTTGTCACATTCAGTAATCAAATGGAAAAAAAAATTATCTCTGTCTTGTGTTTATCAAAATCATTTTAAAACTTGATCAGATCATTTTCAATGCCCTGATTGGTAAAACCTAAGAATTTAAGTAGGGTACACTTTTTTTCCCTTGATTGTTTTAGGTTTAATTTCAAAAAGTTTCAAAACACATTCTACCAACATGATCCATTGCCTTTATATTTATGGAATGTTGGTTGTTTGTGAAAAAGACCTTTGATATCTTAGTCAGCAAGACAGGTTTTCATGACAATGAGCTCAGAGGATTTACCAAAAGAGCTTAAACTCTTGAGAAGCCTTAAAAATTGAATTCAGACTACTTCAAAGTGATTGAAAAATGAATAGAAAAGATGAACTTCTCATGATCTAGAGAATATCACCTTGTTCTCAAGGCTTTAAAAAAATGATGATTACACCACTGACAATGACAACATGATAGATAATATGGGTTGGTGTACAGAATGACTGTGTGTAGCTGAAAAGAAACAAAAACTCAATATGTGTGAGTTTCTTTCTCAGCTGAACAGTGATTCCAAGTACACAGCTACAGCAAACACACAACCTTTATGGGTGATGGGGTGAAAAATTCTTGACTGGCTCAGTCAATAACTTGACAGTTGTGCTTTCAACTTGGTTAAAAGAAATAAATAAAATGGACTGAAGTTAGCAAGACCTCCCAGTAAGAAAATGCTAAAGAATGAAAAGGCACCTCATTCAATAATACACATTGAGCTTTAGATTTGTTGTTGTAGTATCCAGTTCCACTTGTCAAAGAAGTCGTTTAGACCTGGTGTCAACATGTGTTCTGGCTAATCCAGGCGCATTCAGACAACTCCATATAAATTTCAAGTGTTCACAACTAGAACTAAATATGTTTCCAAATGTGTCCTCAGTGAACCTTTATTATTGGCTCTCCATTACCTCTTCTGTTAGCCTTATTGTTTATTTTCAGCATTAGACTTAGAAATTCCCATTTCTACACTTGCATTAGTAACAAATGTACCAAACTTTAAAGATAAAAGATTCAAAATTTGAAACTTTCACCAACTAAACTGCAGCTATCAGATGATATTAGGGTATTACTTATATCACCAATCTAAGTCTTTCTTACAGAATTATTCACAGATCACCTATGAAGGCATTTACTTTATTTTTAAGGGCCTTACAGTATAGACTGCAATGAAAAAATACTGCATTACAATGTATAACAGCTGAACATGTTTGGTTTTCTAAAGCATCAAACTTTTCCAGAGACAAACACAGAGCTTATTAATCCAAATACTCCAAATGTTTTATGGAATGTAACTGAAAAACAAGTATACCATTGTATCTTCAGTGTTGGACTAGTACATTTGTTCTCTTCAAATATTAGTTATACTTATTTTTAAACTTTATATAACGCATCCCATTGAGATCTCAGATAACTTTTGCAAAAAAAAGGTGGGCCTGAAAACCGTCTAACATGCATATTTTTGGATTGTGTGAACATGCAATCTCAAGACTACAAGACCCCGGATCCGAACTAGAAATTGAACCCTGGACCTTTTTGCTGTGAGGCAATAGTGCTAACCACTAACCTGTTGTGCTTTCCATACATTTCATGGTTAATTGCTCCAGAATCCTCAATGGCAGGGGTGTCAAACTTATTTTCACAGAGGGCCACATGGGAATTATGGTGGCTGTCAAAAAGGCAGATAAAATTAACTTTGATGTTCCATGTTTAACTTTGACTTAACGTCATATTCCTTCTCTCATTGCTATGACTGAGCACCACTAACAAACAATAAGTGATCTTTATGTGGTATCTCCTGGATAGAAAAAGCATTTTAACATGTCCTCTTATAAACACTGAAAAGTAATACATGTATTACTGACTAAATGGGAAGTTTATGATACAGAAATACTATTAAAGTAAAAGTAAAAGACTTTTACTCATTGTTGGTTGTGGTGAGTAACTGCTGTTTTGAACTCTGAACTCTCCAACTTTCTTACAGGGAATTCCCATTTGAGTGGCATTCCACTTTTAATTTCACGACTTGTAAGTGGGACAATCCCGCTTCCCAGTACAACTGGGCTGCAGCAAAAGTAGCCAGTAAAAAATGCAGGTAAATGAAAATTTTGCACTGTGAGTTTTTCCGGCTACTGGCCAGTTTTGAACCCTGAGGATCGCCCTCTAGTGGTGAGATTCCATCATTTTGCAGGTAAAATTATCAACATGAATTATAGTTCATAGTCAATGTTGGCTTTAAAGCAGCATATGCTTATTTTAAGACATGATTACTTTTTTGAAGCTCTCGCAGATCACATAAAATGCCATGGCGGGCCAGAGTTGGCTTGCAGGTCTTGAGTTTGAGGCATGTGCTTCATAGCATTTTTTGCAGAAAACTCATTGCGTGAACTTTTCAAATTGCCTGTCAGTTAGCGGTCATTTAACAAAGTTACCTATGGTGGATTATTTAGGTTTATTGCTTTAAGACTTTTAGTTTAAATCTTTTTAAGAAACCCCTAGTTGAAGTTGAATAGGACTTCACGGCACTTAAAAAAGTTGTTTAAAGTATTCAAAGTTTTTTTTAGATTTACTGACTTCTCACTGAATGCCTTTGAACTTTTACCTGCATCATTCTGATTAGTGATTTATTTAAATCAGAACTGAATCAGGCCTACGTGTTTTACCTTTCATCCATTAACTTTTTTTAACAGTGTTCAAATGGAAGTTATGATCCTTTAAAATATAGTTTAAGCTTTTATTGCACTGACTGTATACATGTTAAATAACAGCAGGGAAGCTAAAAAAAAATCAGTGATGGCAAAACTGAACTTCTTAAACTAAAACAGGTTCCCATGCTGGGACAGAGCTCCACTTGATATGAAGAGAGTTGCGAAGATAAAACGTTTTTAGCTGTGCATTGGGATGTGCTTCAAAATCACCAAATTGGGGCATCCTCGTTGATATGGAGATGCTTTTGGCAAGGAGAAATGGCACGCCTTGAGATTATGCTAAAAAATACACATTTGAAACAAAATCTGATGCTATGCAGCAGAGGAAATTGGGGCTAAATTGGGACATTCTACCAACTTAAGCTAATTGAGCTCTTGCTATTGTTGGGGTTAGGCAGGGTGACAGACAGATTGGAAAGGGCCGACACATGTTTTTGGAGTTTAAAATTCAAATGCTCTTCATGTGTGAATACAGACACCTGGGGTAATCAACTGGCTCAGTTTGTGTGTGTGTGTGTGTGTGTGTGTGTGGTTTGAATTTACCCATAAGCCTCTCTGCCCCTGCCTGTCTTGCTTTTAGGATCTTTCATTCATTTCTAGTGTCACATCTGATGTCATGTTTGCAGAATGATGAGGATTCAATCTGGTTTCTAAAAAAAATAAGTGTAATATTGCCATTTTTAAAAAGTGTATATTCTGAGGCAGATTTATTTCTGTTTGAGCTCCTGGGTACGGTTGATCTTAGTGCTATTAAAAATTCATTCACTGGTAATACCCTCCCACCCGTCCTTCTCCATCTCCCTTCTCTTGTCTCCCTCCCTCTGTTCATGGAGCGTTCATATTCTC